TTCCAGTTTGCCCAGGACAGTCCTGGATTCCATAAGCTGGTCCCAGCCAGTTGGTCGAAAGTCCTGGGCTGGAGTCCAGCAGGGAGGCAAAGTAGCATGGTACCAGACAGATGGGTGGGCATGAACTGCTGCTGCTTTGCAGGAGCAAAGTGGGCGTACATGGTCACAGTGGGCATTTTTACATATTCTCCAGAGGAGGGGCATTTTAATTAGAGCAGCTCCAAGATCCACTCTAATTAAAGCTCCTGCTGTGTCTCTCATGTATCAGCATCCCCATGCTTCAAAATGGCAATGGGGGCGCTTTAAAACTCACTGAATGAGCTTTAAAGTACCCACACTGCCATTTTAAAGTGCGGGGACACTGATACACAAGACACGGAGGCTGCTGGAGTGCACTTGTTAGCGTGCTCCAGGAGACTCAATTAATTGAGTCTGCTCTGAGACACTGTAATTACAGCACATTGCAGCAGCCTCCCTGCACACCTACAAGCACCCCCTAAGATGCTGCACATCCAAAGTCCCTGCATTCCTTGATCCCGCACAACAGCAGTGGTGCCTGTCTGCCACATCATGCCTCACCGGACTCCAGCCCAGGACTTTTAACCAACCGGCTGGGACCAGCCTATGGAATCCAGGACCGTCCTGGCCAAACCAGGATGTATGGTCACCCTGGCCAAACAGGTGGGTCCCACTATGTAACAGCACAATTCACAGCTACCCATAAGGCACCCAATCATGCAAAGTTCAGCGTGCCTTACTCCTATTGGCTAGGGACAGACATTACACACAAACTGGTTTAAGTGATCAGAAACTGGTTTAAACCTGTAACAGAACAGACATTCAGTGCACATAAACCAGCTTCAACATGGCTGAAACCAGTTTGAGACAAGCCTGGTTGAATGTAGTATCAGATGTAACTGATTGAGCTCAAACCGGTTTACGCGACGTCTGTCCCAGACCCCTTCCTGTTTTAAGTTAAACCAGAGCCCTCCAGCATGCTCTCTGGGTGGGCCTGTACTCTCTGCTCCACAGCAGGGCTGGCCCCACTCTGTTCTCAAGCCTGAGCAAGGACAGGACATGGCGAGACACCAGCTAGCATAATCCTTTAAAGCAAAGTGGGCAGAGAGGGGGTTTATTCTTCTCTCCTTCCCCACCACAGTGGGGGTCTGCCTGTCTGCCAGGGAGCAGAGAGGAGAGGCTTGTAGCAGTAGCCCCTGTGGCTGGCAGACCCCAGCTGTAGGGCAGAAGGGACCAGAATGAACCCTTCTCCCTGCCCCCTTCACCTTAACAGGGCCATGCCAGGACGGTTATCCCGTGAGGCAGGGAGGGGAGCTCTATTCTGTGCTGGGAGGGACAGACGGACAGACAGACGGACTCTTCCCCCCACTCCTTCTCCCAGGACCGGGGTGGGGAAGGGGTCTGTGTGGTGCTGGAGGGGGATTCCTCCTCCTCCTCCCCTGGTGCTGGAGGGCTGGGAGGTAGGCTCTATGCAAGGTTGCCCAGCCTGGCCCCGGCCTCAGTGGGGGACTCTTCCCCCCGCTCTTCATCCTTTGCAGCTCAGTTACAGCCACTCCTCATGTTCTGGCTAGGTTAGGGCGGGCAGCACCGCACAGAGCTCTCCACCTTCCCTGCCCAGCCTCCATGGGGTGGGGAGGAGCAGGGGGTAAAAGTCCCCCTCTGGGGCAGCCTCACATAAAGCCCCCTCCCCTCTTCCCTGTGTTCCTCCTCTTTTGCCAAGATGTGGGGAGGGGGGCTCCATTCGATGCTTTCCAGACCCAGAGGGGTCCTCTTCTCCCCACTCCTCCCCCCCCCACAGAGTGGGGAGAGGGGCTCTGTTCCATGCTGGAGGGGTCCTCTTCCCCCTCCCCCCACCCTCGCAGGGTAGGGAGCAGGGGCTGTGTGTGAGGCTGCCCGGCCCCGGCCCCAGAGGGGAGCTCTTCTTCCCCATGCAGGGTGGGGATGGGGGGCTCTCTGGCACTGTCTGGGCCTGCTTGAATTCACCACGGGGGCTCGTGGGGCCTCAGTGAGCCTCTGTGCTGGGCAGCTGCTGGGCTCCTGGCCCACAGCACCTCCAACCCAGCTTGGGTAAGCTGCAGCCCAGCCAGCCGCTGACCACATCCACCAGGCTGCACTTGCTGACAGGGCTCAGCATCCCCATCACCAAGCTGTCCCTGCCAGGGGTGGTCCTGCCCTTGCAGCCCCATCTGGCCCTGCTGTACAGCTGCCTTAGCCAGGGATGAGTGAGGCTGGTCCAGGCCATGGGGGCAGGGCTACCCCCAGCAGCTGCGGCTCC